CTTGTTCCTCTTTTATTCATGGAAGTCTGGTGTTTACATTACTACACCAACCATTTATTATATGGATCGATGTCCCTCCAGCTGCTGTATCCTTTAAATTTCCCTCCCCTTTTTATTTAACTATGTAAATTTATTTAATTTTTCTTCATTCTATTTTTATTTAAGTTCAGGTCTTTGTGTAGCTCGTAAATCCTGCCTGAACCACTGCTTTAAATGTCCATTTACCACAATCTCCTGAAGTAGCTCCAGTGCTTCTCTGCGAGACACAATGTTTTCCAGAACAACACACTCCAGCTGCCAAACCTCTCTTCCTGCAGGCTCTCAGTCACACGCACGTGGAAGTCACCAATGCGGACGAGAGGACAAAGGCCGACGTGTCCAGGTGGCGCGACGTTTTTCCCAGCCCTCACAGTAAAACTGCCACGTGTGTAAATGCCTGTGCAGCGTGTAACGGGTTCTCTCCGTGTGTCAGGTTCATTAAAGCAGCCAGTTTGCAGGGCCTGTCTCAGCAGGACACCACCACCGCCTCTCTGTGCAAAGCCATGTCGGAGGACACACAGTCTGATGTGGTTATCGACTGCTCCTCCAGCCCGCCCACGCTCACCAACACCGGTGAGACACGTTTGAGGAACGCGTACAGACGCCTGTTATAAGCACTGACCACAGGCGTACTTGCGTGTCCATGTTTGCTCAGAGATTTGGTTTGCATGAGGTGTCATCTGCACAAGCGAACACGGTTCAAACTGCATAAAGCCCACAATGGTGATGTATTTATAGTAGACATGCATATGTCCAAAATCTCTTTTTCAGAATAAATGAATCGCCAAAAAATAAACCCAGCCTATTCAGGTTCTCTTCCAAACATGCAGTGTGGACAGGATCAAATGCACTTCTAGTAATTAAAACACTAAATCCCTCTGTGAGCCTCATCAGATGTTTTCTGTCCTCAGTCAGTAACCGTTTCTGCGACGGCTGGATTCAGGCGTTTCTAAACGCTGCGGAGCGCTGCAACCCCTTCCTGCTCAGACAGATTCTGGAGAACTTCAAGCTGAAGGTGAGGACAGCGACCCACTAATGCAGCCAGAGCAACAGTGAAATGGCTTAGATCAAAGTAGATTCATGTGTCAGAACGGTCTAGTCAAAGTCCAGACCTAAATTCAGATTTTCTGCTAATAGGTGACGGAAACATGACGAAGATATTTTTAAAAAGAGTAATGTGGGCTTATTAAAAATGTTTAATACCTGCTTACAGGTTATTTCCAAAAGGTGCTTTTAATCTGGAAGCATATTCTAATGTATTGAATATGACTGTATAGGATACAATTCCAATAAAATACAAAAGACTCATACAAAATGTGAATAAGTTCAAGTCGTATGAGTACGTTTGGAAAGCACTGTATGATTAACTTCACTCAGTATGCTGAAAATGCAGCATCACTTCAGATTATTTATGTTTTTACAAAAGCAAGCTGCTTTGTGAAACAGTAGATCGGGGCTTTCAGTTCCTCCTCTTCATAACTTCTGTTATTACTTCCCATCAACATCGATAGTTTCCTGCTTTGTTTTGATTTCTTTATAATTTCTTTTTTTTCTCTCCCGCTCGTTACTTCCTCTGTTTGAACCACCTCCGCCGCTCCGCAGGCCATCCAGGACATGAACAGCCTGAAGCGCTTCGTGCGTCAGGCCGAGATGAGTCACTACGCCCTGTTCCGCTGCTGCCAGTTCCTGCAGGGCTGCGGGAACGGAGACGTGCTGCTGCAGAATGCCCGGGCGGAGCACAGCGACCTGCCCGAAGCCTGCAACATCATCGCCGTCCTGGACGAATTCCTCGGCGAACAGGCTCAGGCCTGACCCACAGCTTCCACTACATCCGAAAGCTCCACATTTACTCAATTTTGTTAAAAAAAAAAAAAAAATACTGTTGAAAATGTGAGAAACGAGGCAGCAGAAACAGTAAATTTAATTTATGAACTACGACGATGATGGTGCTACTTTCGCTGCAGGAGTTCGGACGATTAAGAAATTAGAAAAGGATGTAAAAATGAATTTTGTAAGACAAAAGAAAATAGGACACAATCTTAGATGTAAATGTTGAGTGTGTGTATAAAGAAACTGAGAAATAACTATTACCAGTAGTTCTCACAGAGGCCACTAAAAGAGAACCAACATACATAAGAAGTTATGGTAACTGGGCTAAAATTATGTTTAGCAATATTTTATATCAAAATAGCTCTCTAAATTATTTAACTGTTATTTTCTTTTAAGAATGATGCACAAATCACTTTCGAGCGTTTTCTTACATAATCCACCCAGTACCTGCACTACCTTCACTCCTCTGACATTGTGTTCATCTTTGCGCTGAAGTCAACTTTTGTTTTTCAAACTGTGGGGATGCTTTGTTGTAATTCTGGTGTAAACAGTCCTAAATACTGTCAAATGTGATTATTTCCACGAGTTTATGGGAGTTCATGTAGATAACTAGATATAGAACATGCATTTAAAAAAAAAAACAATTAAATAGCTAATTGTAATAAGCTCAGAAGGTTCTTATTAAATATTGTCCAAAGTATGTAGGAGAGCAATATTATTGTTGGTGTTTAATTTTAACCGTTGAAGTGTGAACAGGTTGATTTTGCTGTTGAGAATAGTGTGACTGACCCATGGTGCATCTGTGTGGATATTTCTGTACATGTAGTCCTCTGTTCTAAATATTTTTGTGGTTCTCTCTAAGATGATTGAAATAAACACAGTTAAGCTGCACTGTGATGGTGGTGGTGTTAATTTTAAAGCACGGCAGCATTTAAACAGAGATAATTGTTTTGATCGTTTTCAAGATTCAGCTGACATCTCGCATTGTTTCTATCTTTAACAGCACAAATCAGAAGCATATTAATTCATTAAAAAAGGGCTTAAATGACTGTTTTGTGTCAAAACACTGTTATTTCTAATGATGTCAGTACAGTCATAGGAGGATTAGGAATAATATTATTAGCACTAACAGGTGAAGTGAGTTTTAGCTCTTCATCATGAGAGTTTTGGGCGGGAGGAGTATTTTGGTCAACAAGTTAACATTTCTCCTTAACGTTGATCCAAATAATTGGGGAATAGCACAATTACATCGATGGAAAAAAGTGATAACTAGAAAAAATGCATTATCTGTGGTGCTGTGGTGGTGCAGGGGTAGAGCACAAACCACATATCGAGATCTTAGTCCCTGATGCTGCCGTCGCAGGTTCGGCTCTCAGCCTGATGACCTTTACGCTGCTTGTCTTCCCCTTCTTTCATTACCCACTTTCCTGTCTTAACTACTCTCAAATAAAGGCGGCCTGAGCCAAAAAAAGAAAAGCATTTCCTGCAAGAATGCTGTAAGCTGAATGTGTTTGAAGTCAACAGCAGAAGACTTGCAGAAAGCAAAGGCCTGCAAAATGCACATAGAAAAACTGTTGAAAAGGAGTGGAAACATTCAGCCAATGCAAAAATCCCAAACAGAGACTAAGAAACTCATGCAAAACACTGGGATCAAAGCTAAACTGTAAGGTAACAACAGTTTGTAAGGAAAAATAAGCTACGTAGCTAAAGCAAGCTTACATCCTAAAGATGATATGAAGGCTAGGTGAGAAATATGAAAAACAGCTTTGTGGTATAAACCATTAAAATTCTATGCTGATGTTCATAAAAAAAATGTGAAAAACTGTAAAAAAAAAACAAATAAATCAACTTTATATTTGAGAATGCTCCTTAGTTCTGACCAAACCATTGTGAGGTCCAAACCTTAAACTCTTTCTCTGTTAAATCCCTCATTCATTTTCCAAACAATCCCAAACTTTAGTGCATATATTTACAAAATATAAATAGTGACCAAATATCTGAGATAGATTATATGATATATTAATGATGAAGTTAAATCTTATCAGACATTGATTATCTGATTGTTTTATTCTCAGTTCTTCTCAAAGGTTCCCCTCTTTCATGCTTGTATGATTTCATTTGTTGCAAACAAATGTAATCTAATGTATCAATATGTTAGAGTAATTAGTAATAGGCTCCTTTTTGATTCTTTTATTGACTGTATTCAACATCATCATTCGTTTCTCAGTTTAGATGTTAATATTGTAACATATTTTTAGACATTTTCCTTTAATTTATGTGTAAAACGTGTTTGATTTAGGTTCAAACGGATCTTTAAAGATTTGAGACTCATAAAAAAATAATTTATTTAAAGAGTGATAGGATTTTAATACATAAATATGATTAAGAAGATAACCAACTGCTGCAGTTTAACAATTCCCTGTTTATCACTTCTCTGCATAAGGCTGCATGTAGAGAAGCATGAGTCACATGCTTACTTTACTGTTGGAGTAAAGTCAACCACGCATGGGGTGTGAAGCTTAACAAGCCGATCTCATTATCCCAGTCATTGAAAACATGAGAAAGGTTTTTCAATCTTCTTTAGGATCTTCTTTCATCTGTGTTCCTGCTCAAACTTTTAACTGTAGCTGTAGTTTTAAGTAAGAAAAATAATAAACTTTGGCTCTGAATGCACAATATTAGAGGGGAAAGAAGTAATGACGTCATTAATGAATGTGACGCCATGATGATATCACTTTTTTCTCAATATTATCTTCCACATCATAAAGCTTTAAAGTCCGTTTAGCTTTAAAAGTCAATCCAAATGCTCAAATACATTGTTGTCAAGCAGGGCATATAAAACACAACCACCTACTGAATAATGCATTCAATTTTTTTGTTTTGTTTTGTTTCTTTTTGCAATTGCACTGCAAACATTCATACTGCGATTAGAATACAACATACTGCACAGCTCTAATTTTGATCCACAAGTTGGACGTAGAGTGGAATAAAAAGAAAAGAAAAGAAAAGAAAGGAAAGGAAAAGAAAAGAAAAGAAAAGAAAAGAAAAGAAAAGAAAAGAGAAGAAAAGAAAAGAAAAGAAAAGAAAAGAAGAGAAAAGAAAAGAAAAGAAGAGTAAAGAAAAGAAAAGAAAAGAAAAGAAGAGAAAAGAAAAGAAAAGAAATGTGCTCCTGATTTGTTGTTTTCCTCTCCTCATATCCTCCAGTAGGTTTCCTCCTCCGGCTGCTCGTCTGCAAACAGCAGAAGTGAGAATGCGTTTGCAGACGCTGTACCTGTGGTTTTCTCCCTGCACTTAGATGACATCGACAAAAGACAGGCGACGGACGCTACCTTCAGTGTGATCGCTCTTTTTCCTCAGCAGATGGGCTGGGACGTCGTAGACTGAGTCTTTGCGTTCGGACACCGGGACGTCGTAGATTCCATCTTTGTGGTCAGAAACGGGGACGTCATACACTCCATCTGTGGGGTCTAAAAAAAAAATGGACAAAAACCAGTGTTATCATTTTTACAAGTGAATGAAGCGGTTGATTAAAAGCAAGCCGCTGTTTTAAAATCACCTTGGTGACCACTAGATGTCTTGTAAGACAAAGGGAAGTCGTACACAGAATCGTGCGCTTGTGTTGGAGGAGCTTCACATGTACCTAAAGGTAAATAAATAAACTAAATGACAGCTTCACACATCTCCAGTATCTGTCACCAGAACATCTGACCTAGTTAAAGCACGTTTATACTTTGTCTGGCAGGTAAGACGTCATAGAGGACATCCTGTCTTTGCTCTTCATAGCTCATCTCAGTGGACTGATCGGGGTCCTTGGGGGCCTCGATGGAGGTGAGGGGCCTTCGCAGGTTCTGGTACGTTGCGTCATCGCTGTCCTCGTCCTCAGGCGGGCAGATGGACGAAGTGAAGCCCTCGGTCTCTGAGTAGATGTGCTCTGAGGAGGCGGAGAGAGGGCGAGGCGGCCGCACCTCCCTCACGCTGTCGCTGCACAGGGAGATGGACATGTTGCTGCTTAGACTCCCTCGCTGATCGAACATCTCCAGGCTGAGGAGCACAGAGGAGAAAAAAAAGGCTCAGAGTTGGTATCAGTGAAGACAAAACATCATCGCATCTACGGGATTATTAGGAGACCAATATATGAAAAACACGCCGCTCTGGAGAAGTTATCACACACTTCAGACTTTGTTAAGTTACAATAAAAAGTCCCAACACCTGAATATTTACTAATGCACAGTTTTAGCTTTCCACCACTCATAGTGTTTTGCATGTAGGTCAGAAAGTTTAATTTTGGTCTCTTCAGACTGAAGCTGCTTCTTTCACATTTGCACTGTGTCCCCTACAAGGCTAGAAATCTGCATACGACTTACCAAGGCATTTCTTTAGAAATGAGGCCAGATTTTTACTTGCAAAAATTTAGAAAAACGTGAATCATTTTCCTTCCCCTCTATAATCATGCATTGTTTTGTGTCGGCCTGCCACACAGAACCCCAGTAAAATGCAGAGACATTTATGGGATGTGAATATATTTCTACTGTAAATAATCTACAGCACTGGACTTACTCTGGGCCTCTAGAGTCCGGAAGTCCAGAAGAGGAGAGATGCATTGCCTGCCAAAGGTGCCCAACCCACTCTTTTCTGAGGGCTGCTGTCTCTGCTGCCTTCACAAACACACAAATAAATCCACATCAACCAAAAGGCTGGTTTCAGATTTGCCATTGTCAGCTTTCAAAATGAAACATGGCAACTCAAACCACAGCAGGGGCTCACCAACATCTTTTTCTTTCCATTGATCATGATGATTTCAAATAGAAAGTGCTTCTTGTCGGTTCTCTGGACTTCTCGCACCGACTGGACCTGAGACAAGATGTTGAAAGTTTGGTTATTAGTGACGTAAATAAATGCCAGGAAATCCAGTTTGTTGAGGGGGGAGGAAAGTGCAGATAGGAGAGGAAGTACACAGATAGCTACACCACAGTGAGATGCACTTTGTAGAAGTAAAGGTTGTGCTTTCGCATTTTACTTCAGTAAATATGAAAGTGGACTAAAGGCTCTGAAAGCATACAACTGTCTCTGTTACAACACTGAAACCAGGGCCTGTTCTGAGTGTGATGAGACAAAACAGAGGAAACCGCAAAAGATACCAGATTAGCAAAGAATAAATAAATAGTGATATATTTTATATACCACTATTTAAGAGAGATGGAGAGAGATCTAGCTCTATCTCTATCAGAGAGATAGAGAGAAAACATCCATTGTCGTCTCTCTATCATTAAGCAAACTTTCATTTGAGGAGAGACCCCTAAACACCTCAGCTGCCTGCTTCCAATGCAGGGGGGGGGCAGGTAAGGGTTAATCCAGCCATGGGCGGTCCTAGACAGAGGCCAGCAGGGGTCAGTGCCCCTGTTATATCCCCCCTACTAAAGAGATAATACTAAACAAACTTCTTGTGATAATATGCGCTGTCACAGAGACCATTGCTTATTGGTTATTAGGAAGAAGTTAATTTTTTACCATCACAATTTTACTTTTGCAGTAAATTAAAAAAAATAAACCATTGCACTTTTAGCTTCAGCCATATTGAGACAGGATGACTTTGGCTCACTTTAGATCAACACGGGCAAAAACCACGGAGCTCCTGATGGATTTCTGCAGGTGCAGACCCACCTCACTGACACAGACAAACATCCAGTGAACACACCTTCAGCTAGTGGAATCTCAAATGTAAGTTTTCACCTGAACAGTAAATTGGACTGAATTCACAATACTGACACCCATTAAGGGTCAGAGCAGACCCCACCTGCTGAGGTCTGTTGGAGTTTTGGTCTTTCTTCACTTTCATCAACCATATTCTGTGGTTTTTTTCTTATCTCTAGCTGAGATGAAGCCGCTTTAAACAGTACGCTAACCTCCCACCCCAAGCGTGAAGCTGTTTTCTCAGTGCAGTGACAGACTGCTGCATCATAGGTGCACAAAGAAGCATCTCTGCAGGTCCTTTCACTCAGCAGTTGCAAGACTTTATAACCACCACTGCTTCGAAACAAACTCATTGTTTACACTCCTGCTGCTATTTGCACAACTTAATTTCTTGTAAAGAGTCTGTTTGCACATCAAATCAAACAACTGCATACAAAATGAACTAGTTTGGATACTTTCTGAAGAAATATTTAGGAAAACATTTTTTAAAAAGTCCCATGTGGTTTTTCTATTTTTGTCTCTAAACCTTCATCACTTAAACCAGACATGAACAAGTTTCACTGAGAGAAGTGAAAGCAAGCACTACGTAGATTTATTCCTTTGAAAAATAACATGGCAGATTCTTTGAACTCATTAATTTATCTACTAAGATAAAATAGAAAGCCACTTTGATGAATATTCACAAGTTCAGCTTCAGAAAATTAAACTGGATCATAAATGTGATTTTACTCTCCACAAATACAAATCAACACAAGTTCAAGCAAAAAAAAAAAAAAAAGTTAATGACTTACTGTGTAAATGTAGTAATAGCCTCTTAAGTGTGACTGTGAATAGGATAAATAATTAATAGGTTATATCATTTAGACTGAATCATTTGTTTGATATATTCACAACCTAATGAAAAAGTGTGGTACTTACAGCGCTGCCGTTTTTCTTGGTATAAAAAAACAAAGTAGTGTTTTGAAGCCTGAACCAGTAGGTCACCCATCTTATTTTCTATGTCCAACATGAGCAGAGCAGCCAGTTAAACCACAGCTCAGAATTGTCAGTAAAATTCCCAGAAACACAACTCACCAAATTGTCTTTTCGTTTTTGCAGAAACCCCTCAAACAGCAGCTTCGTGCCGTCGACAGACATTTCACCCCCTGACAGATGGCAGCTTCACACTGTGGCCACCACTTCTTCTCATTACATTCACCTGGCTGTATGCTGTGACTTCCTCCTTCCTCGGGCTGAGAGTGTTTTCGTTCAGACTTATCACTCCCTCACTTCTCTATTCTCACCAACCAATGTTCTGGTTGGTTAGATTACATGTTTTTTTCACGTGAGTCTTTGTCAATAAGTTAGCTCAGCAGTTGTAAATCATAGCCGCCTAACGCCGGCTGCAAATCAAGATTTATTGGCAGAATGTGCAAAGAAGAACTATGCAAGAAGCTCGACAATGTCACAAATTAGTTCAACGTGTAATGACTACTGTAGTCTCAGTATTATTAAACCCCTGCTGCTTCTTTAGTAATTAGGAGAGCAACATTTTGCTGTACATTATCTGCTGCAGTCATGATTCATAGCGTTCCTGGGGTGTTTTAGGCCTTCAAGTCATTGATGTTCTTGATTTTCCGTGCTGCAGCCACTTTTTTTTCCAATCCTAAGAGAGATTTTCAATGGAGTTCAAGTCAGAGAAGTTTGTTGGCCTCTTTGTAACTTCCAAGAGTTTTTCTGAAACCGAGCCTCGATGGACTTTGACATATGCTTATCGTCTGGAAAGTCAAATGACTCTCCAGCTTCCGCGTCCTCACACAGATAGTGACATTTTCTCCCTGATTCCTCGTTGGATTTGTCTTGAGAAGGTTTTCAATGCCAGAGGAAGCAAAGCAATCCAAATTCTTTATCCTTTATCCTTCTCCAAACATAACACTGATCTGTCGGCTGAAAAGTTCTAGTTTTAGTTTATATTACCCTCATTTTGGGGCTTGAGGCACTCTGGAGTCAGTTTTTCTTGTGCTTTTGGGTCTGAAGTGGTGTAAGAGCTCAGACATGGAGTCTTGCCATGTTAAATGCGCAACTTTAGATGATTGGTTCCCAAACTTGTTGATATGAAAGCCGAGTAAAATCAAGAGTAAAATACTAGTAGACCAAAAAAAAAAATAAATAAATAAAATAAATAAATAAATACAAGTTGTGAGAGTAAAAAATAAGAAATGTAATGATTATTTTCTTGTCAACAAAATAAACACAAAACATTTTAAATAAAGTTTTCTAAAATCAAGAGCGATCACTACTTATCTGAAACAGAAAGGTTTTGGTTTATTCAAATGTCACGCATAAAATGTTTTGGGTGAGCTATGAGATGGAGTTGGCATTCAAAACTATTTTCTCAGAAACAAAAATGGAACATGAGTCACTGCTTCCAGATATATGTTTGCTTTATTTAGGCCAGGTTTAAAGGAAAAGGTAATTTTATTTATATAGCACATTTTCAGCAGCAAGGCAGTACAGAGAGGTTTAATAAATGAGGGCCCTTCACTGTGATTTCAGTGAGTGTTTCTGGATGGCTGTGCTGCTATATTTAATGACATTTAAGTAAAAGTAAATAAACACAGTTGGGGGAAAACCCTTATGTACCTAGAATTAAGATTTTAACATACTGAAAATCTCACAATGTTATTATTTTTTAAATAAAAGGTCTCAAATGCACATTGGAAACCACTTTCCGAGACTACTGTCAAGTCTTGCTGCAGGTGATTTACAGTCGGTGAAGGTTTTTCTTTTTCACCGCAATCTGGTGGCAGTCATGATTGTTTCTTCTTCCTGCCACCAGGGGGCGTAGCCACTATTACTTCAACTTTAAACCAGTGAATTCAACTTCTAGTTGAATTCCTTGTAACATTTCAGGCCTTTGCCGTTTTTCTTTTACTTTCTTATCCAAAGCAATCATTTCTTTTTATTTTTTACAACTATTTCTTGGCTTTCCAATATTTTTAACAAAAACAAAATTTGAGGTGCTCCGTTACAGACACATCTAATGCAATAACAGCTTATGAATCAGTCTGATAAATACTGTTTAAGGGGTTGAATATTGACTGCAGCAGCCAATCAAAGTACAATTCAGTGTTGAATCTGAGCAAAAGCATTGTTATAATGATTTTATTTACTATTTTAGGTGATCTTGGATAATTGATGTACTGCTAACACCCAAACAATTAAAAACAAATTTCACAGTGGGTGTTGAATTACTCCAAATGCAGCAAAGTGGTTCCACTTATTGACACACAAACACAAAGCTGGAACCAGATATCGAAGTCTTTATTGTAAATGCTGCAGAAGAAGACGCAGTGGGCGGTGAACACGTTTCTAGTTTTAGGAAGGTGAGGTCGTCGTAGTCGTTTGCTCGTGGTGCAGAAACGGAAAGAAAAGGAAGGTCAAAGCTTTATTTGAAAACCAGAAAAATAAAAGCAGTCAGAAACGTTGAGCAGTAATACTAAATACAAAAATACATGAGCAATCTGTTTCATGTGGTGCACTCCAAACAATGGGTTAATAAATTAACACACAAATGAAACAAGTGCATGATGATGTTGGTGTTAAATGCTGCTTTGCTCCTGCTGATGCTGCGTTTGGCTTGTGGTACTCCTCTACAGGTCCTACAGTCTTACATAAATACATAACATACTGCATATACTTTAATACAAACAGATTCAAGTCCCTTTGCAGTGTTTCATTTTGGCTGCCTCACATGTCGAACTAGATGAGAGCCTGAGGATTAAAACGGGACCAGATCATCCGAGATAAATCAGTTTTGAACTAACAGATTAGGCCAAAAGATCACAGAAACAATGCATTTAGAAATAGTGTCTCTTCACCAACTACATACAGGTAAACCACAATCGTATAAAAGTTTGTTTCTCGCTCGTGCTGCTTGGACAGAAAAGGGGAGAGGTGGGTTCGAGGCCATGAGCCCATTTGGTTTGTTCAGGCAGTCTTTTTTTTTATTTTTTATTTTAGTCTCTCAGAAAGGAACAAAAAGGACCAAAGTGGAAAGTAGCCGCCGTCTCGTCCCGCGCCATCACCGGTGTTTTAGAAGCACTCTGTACATGGCGAAGCCCAACACTGCGAACACGGTGGCACCGAGGCTGGCCCTCAGCCAGAAGGTGGAGTTCTTCAGGTCCGCCTGGGCCATGTGCCTGAGAGAGGACAGACGCGACAGAGGTGGTGAGGGCGGGTCAAAACCCAAACAGGAAGCAGCGTGAACCAGGACCAGCACTGTGCGGTGATGGACTTTCTCCGAGTTGCCAAATGACAAAGCAAAGCTGAAGGGGCTCCACAGAGGCCAACTTCCTGAATCGGAACCACGGAGGATAAAAATGAGCCTGAAACAGGAACCCGGGCTTTGTTTTGACATTTGGTTTAAAGGTACAGGGTCAAACAACGAGGAGATGCAGAGAGAGAGAAACAGGTGGGTGTCAGAAAAGCAGCAAATCTAACAACAAAACTTTGTTATCCAATTTCTATGGCAGCCCTGGAGGAATCAGAGGGGGGAAATGAGCCGATAAAATAAAATAAAAAAATACACAGTACAGTATTTGCCCTTCCTTAATCTCTGACCTGGCCAGCTACCAAACTTTGTTTTAAATACACAGTGAGCTACAAGCTTTGTTTATGTAAAGCTAGCTACCAGAGAAAAAAATAACTCAACTAGTATGTTCTCAATATAAGCCAGAATAAAGAAATGTAATTAAAGCATTATAAATACATCTCACATGTATAACTATAAACAATAACTAATGAGTAAAAATGTGTGTGACATTACTAATTACAGCAGTTGGAATCTGAGTTGTTTTTTGGGTCACAATGATGCTAATTGTGACTGAAGGCTCTACCTCCAGTCTAATAGCATGTCTGTTTTTAATACCTGATTGACCGTGTAGAATCACTCTTATAAGCAGAATCATCAGTATTCAGTATAAGCAGGTTTGGAGAGGCTTTTGAAATACATTACTTTAAAAAAAATCATTGAAACTTGAGCATTTCTTCAACTCTACCATCATAAAATCACATCTTATAATCTCCTGTGTTTCCTCCAGAGCTGTTTTAACATTTGCTAACCAAATAAAGTCAACGATGAGCTGCAAACTAAACAGAAAGCAATAAAGGAGCAAAAAGCCAGTTAAAAGCATAAGAAAAAGAAAACCAAAGCCAGGTTTTCTTCTTTTTAAATGTCTTTATAGTGAAACGAAACACACTGTGACTGATGTTCTTGTAAGCATAAAAAGAGAAACCAGACTAAAAGCCTTTCAATGGTAACCGTTCTGATCAGAAACTCCAGCGATGGTTTAAAAGAGAGTAAGACCAGCTGCTGACTGTGAAACTCTCCGTCGGTGTGGTTTCTCTCTTTACCTTTGTGAAGAAGCTGGCTGCTCAAGCGGAGGCCTTCATATAAGCGGGCTCCTCTATGCTGGAGATGACCGTCTAACCTGCAGCACCAGCCTGAAATCCTCCCCTGACAGCAGGAAGCTCAGAGCTACTTCCACCCAGCCCAGCAGCGTTCCCACAAACAGTCACAACGCCACACAGCAGGTGAAGCTGGGAGATACCGCAGAATTATGCACACTGGGGCTGCAACTATGGATTAGTGATGCATCTGTTACTGTTTTACTATTAGAAATTTAAAACCAGCATTAATATTAAATCCAAGGTGGTTTGTTTTAATTTTAACCTGCACGATGCAGAAATATCAATATCAGTGCGTGAAGTTTAACAACCACAAGACCGCTGGAGCGACTTTATTAGGTACACCGAGTTGGCTGCCAGTCACAAAGCAGAGACTTAATGGGTTCAAGCATCTGGATGTGGCAAAGACGACTTTTGTTCTTCCACATCAAAACGTGGAAGAACAAAGATTTGAGAGACTAAACGCAAAATCTCAAGTCAGGGGTCAGAAGATGGCTTGTTGGTGTTTGAAGTGATTAGTCAACAGGTCTCACTGCTATGTAGTGCTCTAGGGACGATTGGTAGAAACAGCAAATGAATCGTGGATGTGCAGAAGACAAAACTTCAACCAACTATACGATCTTTTCCTGTTAATACGGAGCAAAAACATTAAGGAATGTTCCAGAAACCTTGCTGAACCTTTTCCACAGAAGAACTGAGGCTGCTTAAAGAGCAAAAACTCTCCATTCAGGTAGTAGCAAGGTGTACCTAATAAAGTGGCCAGTAAGTCGGCATTTGATGATCACCGCAGTAGGTGATCAAGATGCTAAAAGTCTCAGGGAGTGGTTTATAGTTTATTATCTCTGGTACAGAAGGAAACTAATATCAAACATCAGTGAACCTCAAAATGACCACGATTCTTTAAAAAAAATACATTTTAAACAATTTATAATTAGACTTTTAATCCAGTGAATCCCTTTAAACCCTAACACTGATACCCTCATGTTAAAGATTTCACAGCTATGAATATAGAGCTATGTATTATGTTTAATGAAATGACTATTAAAATCTAAAGTTAATTGGTTGGTTTCATTTGCAATGACAACTGACAAATATTAGTTGTGAAGCACTTTTGTTGAAGGTTCACCACTGAACTCCTTCCAAATTCAAAACAATGGAAGAATCTTAATGCATCCTATAATATAGTTATATGATTGCATTAAACTATGATTTAATGTTGCGATTAAAAAAAGTTAATTTCTGCAATAACTGGCAGTGGATTCAGAAGTGAACATTAAATGTTTTTTTTAATGTGTATAAATCTAAAATCTTCAAGCTTTACACCATTAAAGGTTGTTGAATTTGATCAAACCAGTGAATTGGAAGTAGTGGTTCAAAATGTTTTTTCATTAACAGAAAAGTTTATTTTAAATCATATAAAACAGAATAAAATAATAATGATGATTTAAACAAAAAAAAACAGTTTCACCCAGCTCCACATCTCTTTAGAGTTCAAACACAAAAAGCTCCACAAACACAGCAAATAAACGCAGTTCACACCAAAAAATAGCCAGTCTGGAAAGTAACACAGTCCCCTGATAAACCTATTATTATAGCCTGAAGATGTTATGATTCTTTCATTTATTATCAGATTAATCTTTTTGATCCCTCTGGCTCTCCTGGTGTGAAACTTTAGTGAACCCTAAGCATTTCCTGGAGTCGTTCTCGCTCAGCTGGCTGTGAAGATCTACAGCTGCATGCTGCTTTAATAACCGAGAAGAAGAAAAAGCAATCAAAACAAAAAAAGGTTAGCACTGAATGAAACGTGGCACGGTCCGGTTCCATGCGGGTCAAATTTATCAGAAACATTCCCACAGCCGACAACTCCCACCAGGTTCAAAACACTGAGCTCCTGTTATTATAGAGACGGAGACAAAACCTCTCACACACCAGTAGATGGCAGCATTTCGCTAAGCGCCAAGTTGGGTTTAATTTAAAAGCTGGAGAACAAGTAAGACAGGGCGTCAGGTGTTAAAAAAAGGTGAAGAGATGCAAGAGGAAGAGGAAAAGCGGCAGCCAGAAACACGGATATGAACACCTACAGAGAGGAAAGACATTAACAGGCGTGGGGGGAAAAGAAAAACAGGATGAAATGAACGTGATCGATGCAGTTTAATCAATCAAAAACATAAAAACACACATTCTGATTTCAAAAAGCCTGTTAATCAAATTTATCAGGCCTTAACACACAGTAGACACAGAGGCAACCTGGTTATGTCCAATTCAAATTCAAATACAAAGCAGAAATATTATGGTAAACTGCGTGTTAAGACTTGAGCGTTAGGCAAGAAAATAAAGACAAAATGAGACTGAAAACATCAAATCTTATCCGACGAGCTGATTAAAGTTATCCAGAGAAAACAAGTATTTTGGATTTTTGAGTTCAGTGAGAAATTAAACATGCTGAACAAAATGAAGTTTTCAGAGCAAATGAAACACAAACACAGAAGACTGGCTGTGTTTCTCTCATTTTGTACATAAGTCAGTTTACAGTCTGTAAATCCACTGCAGGACCTGAGGCATCAATCAGCTCACTGATCGGAAGATTCACACAAGCTAGAAAAGGCTGTAAGAAGCTTCAGTTTGTTTTCTGTATCTTTACAATGCATCAGAAGTGATATTAAATCCACACTAGAGCTTGGTGATAAATTCAATTTTTTCAATTAGTCATATTTTAGGTTTGGGAACATTTAATTTTTAGTAAATCTGGATTTTTCTTCCCACAAATGCACTTCTTGAAGTGATGTCAGAACGGCCGGGGCAGCCATGTCGCTTGACAATCGAGTTTTACAGCTTTTATTTATTTGAACTTTGAATTCAGGTCAATCATTTATAGCACCAGGCTATAAATAAATTTTGAATTATTTGGCTTAAAAATGTGCATTTACTTCTCTCGCTTTAATAAATCAATCCTCATTTTAATAAAACTGCCTCAAATCAAAAATGTTTTCCTGTCCGTTTAGCTAGCGCTGCACGGTCATGCAGCATGCAACACGCCACTTCCACGCAGACACACGGTACCTCCCTGGCTAGCAGCCTGGGCGTTAGCCGGCACAGGCTGGTCACACCGCCATGTGCCAGACTGAGCAGAGAGCGGCTCGGCCGGCCGGAGCTGCAGCAGAAACCGAGATATCCATCACCAAACGAACGAGGATGTCTCATTTTAAAATGATCCAACACATACAGGCACATTGATGTGTTCAAGTCGTTTTCCTTCAACTACAACCAAAACCATTCCTGTTCTGCAACTAACGAGACTCCTTTAGTTCCTGCAGTGGAAATGCAGAGGAAATCTGACTGCTGCCAAAAACTGAGGGAGAGCAGAGGAGCTACGACTGCCAGCAGTGTTACTGAGTCTGGAGAGGAAGAGCAGGGAGTCTAAGGTGAAACACTACGGCTTCGTCTGTGTATCAACCTGTTGTAAACGACCCTGCGGAGTTGCGCCTTAATGCTGCGCAGCAGCTCCAACTTGAGGAGGTTTTGACACAGGCAATAAGTGCACCTGTTGCAGGAACACATGCACCGGAGGCGGGCGTGGCTGCGGACAGACACAGAGAGACGTGTGTGTTCACTACGAGAGCAACACAACACACAGCAAACAGCATACAAAACGGTGAAGGCGGGGCAAACAGTTCAACCCTAAGATTTAATCAGTTCATGCCTTTCTTTGTTTGCTACTTTAATCAAAGAAAAAAAAAAACAATGGTAACGAACAGTTACAGTATGAGGCTGTTAGGAGGACCAGAAAAGCAAGGGGAAAAAATTACAAGTCAGTTTTTTTTCTCTACATATTTTCCTAGCTGGTTACTCAGATTACACACAAGTTGATAAAACAACAAAAAAGTGAACTGTGTGGCGTTTTTTACGTCAATCGCTTGGTGAAACACTGGAGGACACAAAGCTGAAGCACAAAATGTTAATGGAGTATCTTTACATAAACACGGACAAATACATAAGACAAAGCTGCGGCTCAAATCTACATGTGAATCATTTAACAGAAGTCATTACGGACAAATTGATGACCAACTAAACGTAAAGTAAAAATACTCTTAGTGGAATGAAAGCATCATAAGCACCCCTGGTAAACTTGACCAAAGATACCTTCAAATAAATTAATCTTTTATTTTAGCCGAACAAATTTGCATGAAATTTTTTAGGGGGGAAAAAATCTGAAATTTAATCTGTGTTAATTCCTTCAGTGAGGGAAAAATGTTTTAAAGAGAATCATCAATCATAAATAAATGCTAAATGTTAAAACTAAACGCTTCCTTGCATAAATACTTCACTATATACACATATATATGTATAAAAGAAATAAGTTTTAAAGATGTAAAAGGATCTGAATCAACAAATCAGGAAAATTTAGATGTAAGATTCAAGTCGACCTAAAGCAGGCAAGCTAAATGTGTTAAGTCAAATTTTATCCAAGAGATTACAAGTACATTAAAACAAAATTTATGGAAGTGAGAATGAGGGTTTTTTTTTTTTTGACACATTTATCCTTCATTACCACTGAAAGAAAAGATGAAGATAACTTCTCCTCCTCCTCACAGCAGCTTTATCCTGACCATGCTGCCTAGTGCGTTGTGGCAGGACAAATATAAATCCATGTCCAGTCAGACATTAATCACTTTGATCACAATAAATTCATGTATTTGGCAAAAATTAAAATAATGTGAAAACAATTCTCTACAAAAACTTATTGGTTGTAAACCAAAAACTTAAAATGCACGACCAAATCCTGCTTATTAAGAAGTGAAGCATGAGGACAGTCAGGCTGCAGAGGATCAATAGAACAAACGCAAGCTGGTTTCCCTGATAATCTCATGTTTAAAGCAGATTTTGCCCCCAACATCACAAAGCCTCAGTTTACCCAGAAGCCCATCTGCCATGACTTTTATTTAAACTGATAAATTGCTACTCGCACTCAGCCGATCGTGTGACTTCAGTATTTAAAGAATGGGGCTGCAATCAGATTAAACAAGCACATCCCTTTAAGTGCTTCATAATCCAATCTGAATTCTAATCTGATCAAAGAGCTTCGAGTTTGTAAGACACTGATCAGGTTTAGACAGACTTCCATTCAGCTCTGGTTTATTAGAGTCAAAGAGTTAGAGATACTTTCTTGGGATGTACGGTGGAAAAGTGGAAACTTGATTTCAGAGACTGAGACCGAACTTGAACAACTTCAGGTCAATCACATCATGTAGAAGTTATGTAATAAAATAGATGGTCTTTAATCTCTTATGGTCAGATATTCTTCCAGAAAGAAACAAGGCAGGTTAAATGAGGAGTAAAAGCGTTGGTTGTGTTTTGATACTCACGGGTGCATGGCCATGGTGGTGAGTCTGGTGTACAGGTCCTTACTGGGCGCCTCGTTCGTGTTGCACGTGAACGGCTGCGGCGGGTGGAGCTTGTGCTTGCGGCAGAAGTCGAGCGGCGACTGGCTGTACTGCTGCCGAACCTCGTGCAGGTCGGACTTGGCAGCGACCACGACGCAGGGCGTCTTGCTGTCTAAGAAGCATTCCTGCAGGAAGAAATAGTCAAATGTTTTGCTCCAATACCGACACAGAAAGTTACCAATCAAATCATCTGGAGCCGCACCTTGTAGACTTTAGCACAGTACTCGAAAGAACGAGGGTCATTGATGTCGTACACCAGGCAGACCACGTCGCAGCTCAGGTCGGGCTCCGACAGGATGTCGAAATCTGGCATCACCTCGTGGAGCTGGCGGAGAGCGGACAAGAGACGGAGGGATTAGCTGTCAGCCCCGAACTGAAGCTGTAATAGAGCGATTATTCGGCTGTAATCCGGAGAGCTTCTGCTCAGAATAAAAGGTTCTTACCAGCAGGTACTTCTCCTGACCGTAAACGTAGGTCGTGCTGATGGCATAGTAGGACTTGTGGTCTTCTCTGATCCGCATCTGCCTCTGTGGTGGACAATGAAGTCAATATTATCCGTTTAAGGAACATTTTTGCTTCGAGTTAAAATAAGTTAATTTCAAACTATTTATTGGCAGAAGTGGATGTGAGCAAGTTTAGGGTGGAAGTTTTTTTATTTTTTTATTTTTTTTTTTTTATTTTAGCCATTTTGTAAAGACCAACAAATCTTTGTCTCACCTGAATGGCATGTTCTCTTGTCTTTGCCATTTCGAAGAATGGATTAACAAAAAGCACGTTGGGTGATGTATTTCTAGTAAAGTGCAATAAATCATTTCCACACAGGTTTCAACAAGCGATGCATTTAGATTTCACAACAAGTGAAAGTTTTCCACAAAATGCTGACAAGCATTTTAACACTGGCTGATCCATTTATTGTCATGCTTTTTATTTTTTATTTCAATTTTTTTTTTCAAATTATATACTTTTCCAGTCTGGAGTCTTCAGACAATTCAGACTGTCTAAAATAATATTACTACTCCTACTTTCAACTGCTTGATTAATATTTGGGTTTTATTGTCTAAAGGTTCCACCAATCATGAAACAAAACGTAACAAAATTCAGAAATTGGCTTTATTTTTTTTGGAGTGAGGTATAGGGCTGTTTAACAGCTTATTTGACGTCTGGATTAAAATAAATTATAGCTTTATTTATATAAATTATATATATATATATATATATATATAAATTATATATAAATTATAGCTGCAAGTATTAGACTTGTAAGTAAGGATAAGCTAATCCTACACTAAATGTATGTTCTTCAAAATGTGTCAATCGTTAAAAAAAATGTTGTAAAAATGCATCGTTTTGGTTTTTTGAATGAGTGTATTGCAGTTCATAAGTCAAAATACTAATGAATGCAATTAAATTTGATGTGAAAATCAAGTTATGTAGCAAATCATAGACAATTTGTATATAAATCAACAAAATCAAAAAATAATTAGTTTTTTCTATAAACCAAACATTTATTCACTCAATTTTATTTTCTCAATTATTTACATTTATTGTAATTTGAAACATTCTACAAATATACATATTTATCATTAAATTGTGTGATACATCTGAAATGAATAATATGGGATGGATTTTCTGAAATGTTTTCATAGCCGCTCCGACTGACCTGCAGGTTTCTGCCGAGGAAAGCTTGCAGGAAGCCACTTTTCCCGCTGCCGCGCGCCCCCAACACGTTGCACCGGAAGACGCTTCGCTGCGTTTGCTTCTTCTGCAGATCGATGCGCTTGTTACGCGTCACTAAGGAAGAAATTGATACACAAAATAAGAGCAACAAATAAATAAATATAATTATTATTCCGTTTCATATGTTTAACAACTTTTAGACGCTTTCACAGAAACAAAACCATTTAGATTCAATTGATAACATGCATTGTTTTGTTAAAATCCCTATTTACTTGTTCAACTGCAGCTTAACAGAAAAACATTTAACATTAAACACAATCTGATCCATTACCAGTAATAGCAGCAGCTTGGGACTCCTGTTCACAGATGATGGAGTAGCCGAGGTAACCTAAATACTCCAAACTCCTCTGGACGTCCAGATATGTTGTTAACCTGCCAGCAACAACAAGGAGGAATCAGGACTTGGATGCTCTGGAGCTCTGTTGTATGACCTTGTGTTGAAGGTATTTGGGTTAATCAAAGTTGGTGGGATAGAGAGCCTGTATTAATAGAAAGCCACTCACGTCCACTGGGAGAGGTATCCCTGGTATGTGATCCATCCCTCATCGTTGGTGCACACCGTGTTGTTGACATCTGGACCCCAGGGCATGTAGGGAAACACATTGAACAGGTCCTTCACTTCCTCTGGGGAAAGCGCACAGTCTCTGTCCTGCATTGAACCAATCAGGTAAAACTTTTGGTTTTGGAAGAAAAACTGCTGCATTAAAATTAGGAGCACATTTTCAACTAAATAGGGACAAACTAACCAAACTGCTCTGTTGTGCATGACCACTCACTTTGTCGTGTTTGTCAAAGACACTCTGCAGAAAGAGGTAAGCGTTGTGGTTTAGCTCAGTGGTGCAGTCTGGAGGGACTTTTATCCTGAAATAGAGGCACAAACATGAGTTCAGCAGCTGACCTGACGAGTTTCCAACAGCAGCGTCCAAACAGAGATGGACTCTGGGTCAGTTTGTGTTACATAAGGCAACACCAGCAACCACACAGGACCGGGAAATATATGACCGCTGGCAGGTTTTCATGGCCATGAGGTAATATCAAAACATTTTAAGAGTCAGACTGAATCATGGAGGTGTTTTTTTTTACTGCACTCTTAAATACAGAGAAGTGAAATACTGTTTTCAATAAGAGTGAATAAACTGGCCTGTTTTGCCTCTATCTGGATGTTTTCTATCAAAACCCAATTGGGAGACGAAACTAAACATATTTAATCCTGGCGTGTTGTATCGTAAGTTTTTAATTTTCAGTTTTAAACAGAACTGTGTCGTGAGTAGATGCTTACAGAGGGAACAGATATTCCTGCGTGAGCTCCAGGTCGTCATCGTATCCGAACCTCCTCAGCACCGTCCACGTGGTTTCGTGTCGACCTCGCTGGATGAACAGAGTGTGCAGGAAGAGGAAGCCTGAAACGGCCAGCCAATGAGAGGATGAGATCCAGTCAAAACCTGACAGAGGCAAAGGAAACCAAAGAGACACAAAGTCTGACCTTTGAGGGTGAGTCCGTCATCTCTGACTCCGTCGGCCATGTTCCTCCTCACCACGTTCTTCACGTCTTCTAAGGCTTGAGGTGCCAGAGGCGTATTGAAACAGGTTCTCTGTAAACATAAGGAACAAGACATTGAGAAATGTTTCCCAGATACGTTCATGCCTAAATACGCCTCTTTAAATGAGCTTGTATTAATTTCCGTAGCAACAGATCTGACAATCAAACGCATAATTAAGGAATTGCCTGGAAGAAGTTGAGTTCGTTGTCGTTCAGCACCCCATCGTTGTCCAGGTCGGAGATTTTAAATATCCGAGTTAAAGCCTTAATGCAGGAAGGTTTCAACTGCAACACACGGGAAGGGTCAACATTTATGAGGATATAAAATAATCAGATCTGTTGAAGGCGACATCAGAGAGGAAAAGTACTCTTCAGTTCACTCTCCTCATTTTTATGTGCAGGATTGAGCTTGAATCTATTAAAAAGAAATCAGAATAATCTAAAACTGGCATCAACTGGTCAGACCTTCAGCATCAAAATGCTAAAAGCAGCATTTCTAAAATAAACTCGATGTTACGATGACTTCCTAACTCCTAGATGATTAGTCTTTTCTCTGAGCTGATTTTTTGCAGCAAACATTTCACAAACAGGAACTATTTCCTTTTCCAACATGTTTATTAAAGTTCAAATCTCTCACATCATTTTAGACAAATACTTGCGAAATCAATTTTGATTTCTAGCCAGTCATGCATTAGAGAAATATCAAAAAACAGAGGATGATTGGCTGGGTAACACTGATCTCTAACAATTTACACTTTTGTAAATGTGAGCTATCTAAGCTAACATTTAGCTACGCCACAGCAGAAAGTGCACCAGAGTTATTGATAGCAATCACACAGATGCAACAAGTTTGGGCTGTTTTGCCTGCAGGGAAAACAGCCCAGAAATACCTGAGCTGCACCACACACTAAACACCTGCCAGTATAAATGTTTCCGCTGCATTTTCAGAGTTAAAAATGTGTCCTGCTTCTAACAAACCTCACCTCCTTCTCCTCTGGGCAGTACAGAGGTCCGGTCGGGTGGAGAACGGCCTTCTGGGCGTAGTAGAAAAGCTCAGAGATGTTCTTCAGGTTCTTGGCAGAACACTGTGGGGAAAAAAGTTCAAATTAAGACTTGGACAAAAAAAAAAAATGTCCTCAAATGTAAAACTAGTAATCCGTACAGAGGAAAGGCTTAGGAGATTCAATGATGGAGATAAATACATATGCAAAATACTAATGCATTATTCTCATAAGGATACATTTCCTCATATGTATCGACTTACTCTGCACACAAAGGGACTTCTTTCTCCAAAGTCAATACTTCCTGTTGACTTTAGAGTTGGCTCTATTACAGCTACCCAAATTTCTTTCAAATTTAGGTTTTCACTTTTTGTTTGCAATTTATAACATCTAAGAATGTTTCAAACTAAAATTGTTTTTGCAAAGCCTCAAGAAAATGTAGCAAACTGAACCTGAATTTTTATTTTACTTTTATTTTAACTGATTGTTACAGTTTCAAAAATCTCATATTGTTTCCACAGATTAAAGCCTTTGATGAGATGCTGGAGAACGAGTCAGAGATACGGGAGTTTTCTGTGATGATCATACATTATCCCAGAGCAGCTTTATGTTATCCAGTTTTCTGGTATAAATACTTTAAACTCTGCTACTTTTACTCAGAGGCATCAACCCACCAACATCCTCTGCCAATAAGTTGGATAAACTGAACCAGATCTCCATGTTGTAAAACCCCTGCCCTCTCTAAGGCCGCAGTAAAACACAGCTTCACACCGTTTTGTGCGGTAGCTGTGACAGTCTAAATCTGTGCCAACAGTGTATGTGCCGACTCTCACGTCCTCCTTGCTGAGCTCCTCTAACCTTGTAAGCGATCTGTCTGAAGAGGAAAAAACTGCGCTGGGGTGTGTGGCACGGTAGAAACCTGAATAAAAGCAGCAATGCAGACAGATGCCAGCCAAGCCTCTAACTCAGCCACGTCAGGGGGGCTGAGTAACATAAACCCATTAATGACTCAGCCAGAATGTAAACAGAGTCGGGGTCTGACTTCTGTTCTCAGCAGGTCCTTCACCGTTTCATATGTTCATCACTCTACTGTAATTAAACCTGGTCCTGTAGCCTACTTACATCATATTCATCATCTTGTGTGAATAATAAGAGGCTGAATCAGTGTTTTACCTCTACACAGGTCTCAATGTCCTGGTACTGATTCATGATGGGCAGGATGGTCTCCATGCTGCTGTGCTCCACCAAGTCCGACTTGTTCCCCACGAGAATCAGTGGTACCCTGAAATACAGACGGTTATTGTTACAGAAATAATGTAACAATAACATCAAACCAATCAGCATCACCAACAATTTGTTCACCTATAAAACTGTCTGTAAAGACAAAAATCTCTGCTAACTTTATTAAATAAATATTATTTTAATCAAGGCATTTCTGACAAACCACAAAAATTTTACATTTTAAAATGTGTTTTGTAAATAAAATGAACTGAAAAAGTATGAAAGAATGATCGTCACTATAGCATTTACTCACCTGCTGTCTTTATCTGTGCGGTCGCTTATAAGAGGAATCCAGTGGCTCGTCACCTTTAGGAGGAAGATACAGAATTACATTCTGCTAATGATCTGAACCAGATTTGATCAAGAAAACATTTTTTTTTACTGCAGTTCCAAAGACAAATTACCAAAGTTTTTAAACCTTTTCAGCTAATATTGAGATCTCAGTACAAGACATGACTCTAAATTTTTAACAAATATTTCTACAGTCATCAGGGTTAAAGTGTAGAAGCTGCAAACTGAGAATGTAAATAACGCAGAAAAATCTTTTCTTTTTTTTTTTTTTATATCCAGACCTGTAAAGTATTAAAATCAGAATCAAAATTCGTTTTTCCAGACGGAGCAGGAAGTATGCCTCGATCAGGTCTGATATTTAGGGCATTAAATTCAGCTTATAAACACAGTGTAGTTGTAACTGTGCTTATTGTGGAGGGAAATTATTTTCACCTTTTCGATGGACTTCTTGTTGTTAACTGAATAAACTATGCAGATCACGTTGGCCTGCAAAGAGAAACAGAAACATCAGCTTGAGATGCATGAGATAAACCAACAACAATGAGAATCAAATCAAACCTACCTTGGAGATTTCTTGATACAGCTGCTCATCAGTTTGCTCTGCTTCTAAATATAATAAAAAATACATTAATCAGTGACATTTTTTTTTCCAAACCTCCTGAATTTTAATATTTTTGTGTTGGATGCTTTATTTGGAAAAACTCTTAGAATATCAAGAATCTAAATAATGTTGACACATAAATGGGTAACTTGGTAATTAAAGCTTGAGCCTTTTATTATAAATAACAAATTCTGGCCTGGTAGACATGTATTAAAATAAATTTAAAGTATGGACAAGCGCAGAAAGGCTAGAGGGGTTTAACACTGACAGGTTTGTTAATTGTGACATTTCTGCTGTTTTTCTCAGAGATTCGTTTGTGTGTAGATACATAAACGAGTTACCAGAGTAATCCACGATGTGTGTGGGAACCCGCTCTGGGGTCACATCAGCTGGGATGGTGATCTCTTCAGCTCTGAGAGGAACCTGACAGACAGACCACCATTATAAATCCAGGCTGGTGTAATTTTTTTTTCCCACTACAACAAGTGTATAAAACACAAATATATGTGCAATAAGCAGCCTCTAGGTCAAGATCTGACATATTACACACCATCAGGGTGTAGGCTGATACGTACCTCATCAGGAAACTCCTCACTAACCAGAGACATGATCAGCGACGTCTTCCCCACCTTGGCTGCGGGACAAAAGGAAAACAATGAAGCTGTTAAGAGCACTCTGACATTTATACTGGCATGATGGGAACGACAACAGGAAACAGAGTTTTACTACATTAAGAGAAATACTGTCTACATCATTAACTATTGAAAGAGTTGCACGTCTTCTCAAAGGGATTGCTACAAAAAGCTTCATAACTCTGCACTCAACAAAAGGTCCCAAAACATTACCGTCCGACATGCAAATCTCTGGTTATATTTCAAATAACTACTTAAAGCGCAACCAATGTTAGCTTTGTTTTTTAAATCCCAAGCATTCAGGCTCTCTGTGACAGTAAAATATTTTCTGACATTTGTTGTTTAATGAAACAGAAAACGTTTAGGAGGGTACTTAGAGGCTTTTCTAAAGCTTTCTTTCTTTGACAAAGCAACATTTTTCAACAAAATGACATTGAGATGAAAACAATTAATTTTATATTTTTCCAAAAACATAGAAATTACTCATCATACCGGCTCTTCCTATAAAAGAGGTCTGAAAACATTAACTCTGTTCAGGTAAGAACTTATCTATCACAGTCATGTCTACATCGCAACATTCCCAAAATATTTTGATTTTCCCCCAAATATTTTGCAGCCTTAAAATGAGTTATAATTACAACAAATGTGTAACATATATAAGTATATATGCAAAGAAATACATATCAATTAAAATGTCAAAAAAAATATTTTCCACTGACTGAAATTAATGAGAAAAAGTATTTCTAATCTATGAACATGTTTTTTTTTATCTCCTCCTGTTTAAACAATTATCAATGCTTAAACTAAGAAAATATACAAAACCACATTCATCTACAAGAATGTGTTTGCAGTACAGTTAAATCAACAAAGTAAGTGAAAAGTTGCAAACAGCTTAAATAAATGGATCTGTATGATTATATTTTACAACCATCTGCCTCTCAGACAGCTGAGTGACTCCACTTCAGTTGTCACGTAGCGTTTGGCCGCCCTGCTCTCAGTAACGGTCCTACTCGCCAAATGGAGAGATGAAATATAAATAGTTCTGACAACGTGGCAGGAGAACAAACAAACCAGGTGAAGGAAAGTTTAGTAGGACGTGATTCAATACCTGCAAAGTTTGGGGGAGGGGGGGAGTTGGGATTCTGATATTAAGCTGTTATTTACCCAGAATAACTTGTGCCAACTAGAGAACAGTTTGTCAAAGTAACGGAAATGTGAGGAATATTTTTGTAAATTGAACATATACACAACTAATCCATAATCATTTCCCCTTTAAAAGCTCGGCTCTGTGATCGTCTGGTCAAACAACTGAATTATCTTGATATTTATTTCACATCCATCAAATGCATCAAACAAACAACTTCCATTATATTGACCTACAGTAGCATTAACCAACAGCATCTACTTTTATCCGCTTATTTTAGTTCAATGAAAACCAAATAAAGTTTGGGGCTAAACACTCTGATGCACAAATAGGTTCAATCTTTTCTTGATCTAAATCGGCTGTAATCAGCAGGTCAGACCTCAAAGGAAACCTTAATTCAGAATCAGGGAGAAAATGTTTAATTGGTGCATCTTTGTAACGAAAAAGCCCCCAGAACTGTATTCATTATGCATTTTGCTGAGCTTTTACTATGAAATAGCTGTAACTGAAGATGAGCGTTAGATTTTTAAAACAACCAAAATAGTCTTTCCTCATATTTTCAAGCACCTGTAAAACAAAAAGAAACTGATTTGATACATGGCTTTAATAGCCTGTGTAATGTCCCGTTTCCATAAAAAAAAGGAAATAAATCAAAATTTCAATATTTTGTTTACACTAAGAACTATAACAAGACGAATGCCTTTGTTTCAAGGCAGAGCATTTTCTGTGGCTGTTTTTAATGGTGACATTAACATAATACTATGAATGAATAAAATGACAGTTACAAGTTAAATAACATTTATTTTAATCATTAAAACAGCTGAAAATTCAAGATTTGCATGGTGGATGCTATATTTAAAATGGAAATTGGGGCATTTTTTGTTTTGTTTTGTTTTTTACAGATTTTTTAAATTATGGGACACAAACCGTCCCATAATTTTGCCCTTTCAAATGCTTTTCAGCTAATCTTAATTTTTAACATACAAGTGCTTCTTCAAATAAGATTATTGTTACGTTAGAAAATGTTGCCAACATGTTTTGACTAAAAGGTCGACAAAATATTTAAACAAAATGGTTTAAATATTTGTGTTCATTTGTATAAGCCTCAAAAGAGCCAGAAATCTGGGTAAAATGGTGAAAATGAGTACTAATTCAACTAATTAAAGATATATGGTGACTACAGAAGAGTCAGTTTCTAAATTTACAATCACAATTAAACAATTAAAAGACTAATAGCCTCTCCTAAAAGAGAAAAATAGGCAATAATTCCTTGATACATTATATACTCGCATGTTACTAAAAGAATTCATGCTAAACGGTTGGATTTCAGAGCCTCTCAGTTAGCAGTAACCTCTAGCTCATTTTATCAGTCTGCCATATTTACCGACTACATCCCTCGACTTACGTTCTCCAACAAGGAGTATCCTCACGTCCTTCCTCATGACTCAGCTCGCTTCCCTCAGCAGAAATGACTCCTTAATGTTTCATTGGGTCTTCAGAGAGCCTTCCTCCTTCTTCTCCTGCCTCCTCCTCCTCCAGCCGCAGCGGTTTCCTAACGTCGGGCCCTCCCGCTGTCAAACACCCGCCGCTTTGTAGGACAAAACGGACGGACACTTCCCAAAGCTCTTCTGCGGTTGCTCCACACTTTGCGTCAAGTCGCGGGTTAACAGACGAGCAAAAACACGATTCAAAAGCGTTTCTGTGTCTTGTTTGTGTGTATTTTTATCTTAATCGCGTTCATTTCGGCGCCAGTGGATCACTTCGCAGTGGACGTTTCAGGAGCATGCCCGACCTCCAACACCGGGTTGCTACAGTGAGCCATGTGGGACAAAACTCTCAAAGCCCAAATATAACAAGCGGTTATGCTGCCCTCTGGCGTCAAAATACGGAAATACACGCGGGTTACTTCAACATTATCCAGCAGTTACGTATTTCTACAGTAGTAGTAAGGCACTCACCACAGGGGGGCGCCTAAACACACTCAACAAGCTGCAGAAACCTGGTTCTGTATCAAATGACAGCCGTATAGCATGAATCAAAAATATCATTTACACAAAAGAGTTTAAAAAAGAGAGACGTATTTATAAACACAAGTATATACAATATAATTTTTTTCACAAATAATCTTTTTTCTCATACACATTTTTAACAGCAGTCAAGACACACCTCATATATAAAAAAAGTCATTTATTTCTCTGAGCATAATTGTCAATAAGTAAATTTCCAACACATTTAATTTAATGTTATTAGCCCAATAAAAAATAAATATTTGTGGAATTCTTTTTCAAATAATTAGAAATAAAGAAATGTCGAGTTAGCATGGTGATGTGGAGCAACAGTGACACAGTACCAAAAAAATATCAGATTATATTGATGTGGCTTTTTTAAACCAAGGACTGAGCATCATGCTAGTGTGAGCTTATAACATGAAGTTATTTTTCAGTGTCATGTCTGATTCAGTGCAGTGACAGAAGTTCAGCCATTTAGGTCATGGATGCAGTCTTCTCATGACCATCTCTGCTGTTGCAATTCTTCATGGTTCATTTCTTATGCCTTATATGGGCTTGGGCTGGAAAAACAAAGGAAAATACTCGAGTGAGGTCAAAACTTTAGATGTTGGCTAAATAAGCCTTTTCTGAAGAGCGATGTCTATGATATTTTGTGGACAAAATAGAGATTCATAACAACTTTGCAGAGTGAAATTGTTCATAATTACATGGAGAAATATTCAGAGCAACATACATGGAAACAGGATCTAAATGAAATTAGACAATTGGGCTTTGTTTGTTTTCCTCAATTGAATTGGCAACCAATAAAACCAGCAATTCGGGTAGCATGTGCTGTAATCTAGCTGACAGAGAAATTACAGAACTGAGCATTATTGGTACCAGACAAGATCAGTCGTCCTTTTATTATTGACTGTTTCTCTACTGAGCAAATTGATTATACTAGAAAACCTGGCTCTTTAATAAATTTCCTTTCTCAGTCATAGTTTGCCTAAACCAGTTTGAAAGCCTTTTAACCTCTGTATTTTAAACCACTGATGAAAGGAGCCTGACCTCAGGTCCACAGGGTGTGTGTTCTGAAAAGGATATTAGTCAAGGCTCAAAATAGCACAATACAAAATGTGCAACCAGGAGTTAGCACAGGTCAATTAAAAACTATTGCAGAAATTGCAAAGGAAATCCTTAAAGCTTAGTTATTTTACAACTATTTCAGCTTTCAGGCTGTTTAAGATTAAACCTGTGACAAAGCATTACCTTTCAAATCTTTTAATTTTAAACAGATGTATAGTTCTAGTCAAAAATTTGCATACACTCTTATTCTGCAAGAAGTATGTTTTTCATGATGCATTTGCTTCAATAGTACATTACGCTGCAGTAAAACAAGAAATTAGCGTACAATTTGAATTTACTGTGGATTTTCTCTAACTCATACTAGATCAAAATTACACCAGCAATTGTCAAATTTTGCTTAGAAAACGATTAAGGAATATTTTTTGAGAGCAGTTTTTATGTTCTAATTTTGCATCCCTTCTTCTGATCCAATCAGCAACATTAACTCTGGGACGATCTGCTCTGTGCTTTGCAGACACGCTCCTGGCCTCCTTCTCTTACCAGTGTAATCTTGTGGTGACATGGGCCTGGACAGCACCTTTCTCAGGGCGTTCAGCCACTGCTTCTGCTCCCTCTCCTGCTCGCACATGAACACAAACTGGCGCTCCGGCGTCTCCACCATGATGCCGCACTTCCACTTGTTGCCCCGCGTGTGCTTCGGGACACACTCCCTCACGGAGTAGCCGTTGCTCTCTGTCCCGATGAAAATGACCCCTAACTCCTCTGCATCCTGTTTTAGCAACAGCGATATGGAAAGATATTCAAATGAATCATAATTTTGAGCAGTAGTTATTTTAAAGCTGGCATTAGAGCTTAGAAGAAGTGTGGTCTGTACCAGTTGGTCTTTGAAGTAGAGCAGCTTCCTGTTTTGTGAGTCCAAAATAAACCAGCGCTTTCTGAAAGACTCCTTCTGCTGTTTGAACATAAATTAGGTTTAATCCAAAGAATCCATGAACATGCTCCACTTAGGAGAAATTTTCTTAACAAAGTTACCTACTGTGTAGTTATTATGGTGTGTTAGCATGAGTGTGCGTGCGTGTGTGTGTGTCTATGTGTGAAAGAGGAACAGAAACATTCAAATGTACATCTCAGAGCAAATAACATCAAAAATAGCTGTCGGATGACTGGAAATGAAATGCTCCACTGCTAAAAGACCAAGCTATGCAAAAAAGGAGTAATTAACCACAACAAATAACAATGTGATGCTCTTTATAACTCACCAAGGGCCCCGTCTTTTCCATGTACCCCTCTTTTAGGTAATTTCTTGTTATCATTGGCACAAGCTGTCACAAAAAGATAATTAAAACTCTTTTACTTGATTGTTTTATTAAATCAAATACGAGATACTCAGTAAAGCTTGTGAACGCGTGACAAATTACTCTCAAAGAATGAGAAAAGAGTTGCAGACTTGAAAGGAATGATTAAAAAAAAAAAAAAAGAAGTGCCGGAGAGGAATGTGAGCAATTCAGGCTGAGTCAGGTCTTACGTCCTCGTCGCTTCCAGTCGGGTATGCGGTCTTCAGGTATGCATAGCGAGCAGCACGGATGGAGTTGTACCAGATAACTATTTCCTGAAGCACAAAAGGGAGCCAGGATCAGTATGTAAAACCTAAAAAAAGCCCTGTTTTAAAACAATAAACACAAAAGATCTGACCGTGCAGCTTCACCTCAGCGCTCTCGTGATAGACGTAGAGGTTCCTGGTTTTATTTTCATCCTGGTATGTAATCTGCAGCCCGTGAGGATGGCTGATCTTCTGTGGCTGGAAGGTGGCGTTCAGATCCTTGATGGCGATTACAGCTTTAGGGCCTTTGGACTCCTAAATGACAGGCATGTTGAAGTACTTCAGCAACGTAGGAGATAAGGAAAGTAAATTAACATAAATGTGCACAAGTTTTTGCATTCAGTGTTTGCCAGTATTTTGTAGAGTCAAGCTTTGCTGCTGTTACATTTGCAATTCTCCATCAGATTCACACATGTAGAGACTGACATGTATGCCCATTGTTTTTAGCAAAAGAATGGGCATAAATAATGGGCAAAGCTAAAACTCTGTGAAATTGGATGGAGAGTGTCTGTCAATATCAATTATTTTCAAGTCTTACCAAAGTCTTTACTTTGACTGCGCCATTCTAACACATGGATCTAAACCAGTCAATTGTAGCTCTATCTCGATGATTTGGGTAGTAGCTTTTTCTGTTTAGCGCCATCCATCAACTCTGATCGGATCTCTATCGATGGAGAAGGAACGCATCCCCACAGTGCGATGCTGCCACCACCGTGTTTTAACATGGCAGTTTTTTTTGTTTTTTTTTTTGTTTTTTACCACACATTGAATTTTTTCATGTAGGCCAGAAACCTGCATTTTTTTCACCAGACCAGAACATGTCCACTGTGTCTCTTACATAACTCTAAGCTGATTCTCTGATAAATACTCTCCTTACACGACCAGTCAGTTCATGTGGATGGCAATGTCTTGGTAGCTTTTTCAATCTCTGTGAGATTTTCAAAACATGGGATATTGTTTTATTATCTAACTCAGCTTTAAACCTCTCTACATTTTTATTCCTGACCCGTTTACTGAGTTCCTTGATCTTCACGACCCCATTTGCTTGTAAAACCCAGAAATCATTCTCCTTTCAAGTCACAGTTATCCAACACTTTGTGTTTATCTTTGAAGAGAACTCCCCCCCCTCCCCCTTGAAAATACATTGAGACTTGCGGTGAACATCTAAACCATTTCAAGGATATGAATATTTTTAAGAGGTATTGTATTAAGCTTGTTAGAAAAAAAAATCTATTGTTTTTCTGTGTTTGCACCCGAGCAGCTGGAAACTCACATCTTCCTTGTTGTAGTACGACAGGGTGAATTCCCGTTCCGACAGCACAAACTTCCTCTTCTGAAACTGCATGTTCTCTTTCCCTTTCTTCCACAGAATTCCTTCATGGAAGCCTGTTTGACACGAGAAAGAAAAGGTACACAGATTGTTCTCGGGAGAACAAATTCATTGTTTCGCCAATGAGTAACTAATCAATACCCCACTGTTTGTTATCTACAATAAAACTGTTCTTTTCCTAACACAGTTTGGTATGAGGAAGCACATTACCAGCATAACTTTTGCTCAAGCAGGATAACAATAGTAGGCTTCATGTTCTCATTCGTGCCCATAGGGAATCAATTTCTGACCTGTTGTATACGCCAGCGGTGGATACTTGGTTACCCCGTTGAACTCCATCCTCTGATATTTGGCCCGGATCCATTGATCCCTCAGGACGCTGCAGTTCAAAAAGTGGAAACAGTCTCACATATTTTTCTGTAGTAAAACCACAAAAACCTGCGCCTTTCAGCTGCAACCCAGCAGCAGGCTTTCATGCACATTTCACTTCTACAGCCTGCAGTTCCACTTCTCTCTGTTTTCTGTGGTTGCGCCGTGTCAGCAGTCTGTTGTCCATCATACACTACCAAATATTCCACAGTTGGGACATCGGAAAAAGAGCCCGGCTGAACTGTATGAGCACTTACTTGCAGTCGTTTTCCAGAGGCCGGTAGTAGTACGGTGGAACGGCTTTCTCATACACAGCTCGGGCATTCGCATTTCCGGTGGATTTCATGAACTTTAAAGTGAAAGTTACAAACAGACAATCAGTGTTTCTTTAGAAATATATGGAGAAAAAATGGATCTGTGGAGAAAGGAAGCTCATACCTCAACCA